TCTATCCTCGCACTCGGTATCATACATTTGGCGAATCGCCTTGCTGATTATCATCACAGACTCCGCAATCACGAGCGGGTTGCTACGTGGCGCTTTGAGTGGGCCGGCAACTTTACGAATCTTTCACCCCTACCGTGGATGGGTGCATACCATCAATGTAAGCCTCCCATTGCCACCTTGCCTCTATCCATTAGAACTGTACTGACAAGACTTCGTACAGCCAACATGCCAGTGTACTTCGACACGCTCTCCCTATTCGGTCCCTCCACGGCTTTGGAAATTCAGATCGCCAACACCTTGCAAGACCTTCTCCTCGCCTTCGCCGCCGACCCCAGCAATGCTGCCACCAACCTTCCTAAGATGGGCTGGCCGCTCAATCACTACGGCATGGGCAGTGACGACGTCTTGGCATTTGGCGCGAACGGAACGGCGACGCAGATTGAGCAAGGAGCCTTCTACCAGTGGTTTTGCAACCATGTGGAAGCGGTAGAGGAGGGGGAGAGTACAAGCGTTAACGAAGGTGTTGCGTAGATTAGTTGTGAAGGATGTGAGGCGGAGATATGAAGATTTTGTATGAGCCGCCCATCTACTAGTATTATTGTTTTCGACTTCTTTTCTTCTCAACTTCTCTTGCTTCGGCTAGGGATAGTAGTACGCCTCTTTAGGTTGTACTTTCTTTCCACGTGTAGTCGTAGGGGTCTGCTTGGCTCTATTTCTAATAAAACAATGGGCACCATTGGGGCACTTGCCAGCACGATGATATACATTCAATTGTTTCTCAGATCTATGAGATATCGTATCTTTTTAAAACAGTAGCTTTACACAGCGGAATACTGTGATAGAGATGCGTAGTCTTTTCCGTTCTTCCAAACGTAGCCGAAAAAAAGAAAGCACTACTAACTAACAAAGGAAATCTAAGGCGTCTAGCACCTCCGAGCAACTACGGTCTGACCAAGGGATCTAGAAAGCCATAAATTATGGAAAAAGAGATACCTAATCAACATCCAAAGAATCCAGAAAGCCATATATTAGGAAAGAAAAGATACCTAATCAACATCTAGAGAAATTAATATCCCAAAGGCCAAGAAAGAAGGGCTTAGGAGGGTCAGTCTTTCGGCTTCTGCTTAGCCAACCATTTCCTGAATTTCTTTCTAAGGTCCTGGCCTTCCTTTGTCCCCGGCTCATACTAGCACCTCGTCAACGCCATCATGTCAGGAGTTAGGTCGTGTCGGTGGGCCACTGAACGGCAGCATCTAGGCCTTCCAATGAGCCCCACGACGTACTGCTTGTCTTTCTCGAGATTGCCCTCATCATCTCTAAGTTGGACGCCTTCCCTGGGGCTCAACTCCTTGTGGCCCGGACAGTCTATGCCTTGGGGCAGAAGTCGAAATCGCCTTCGGGCCGGCTGATGGCTTTGGGGATGAGGAGCCGGTCGTTGCATCTGCAGCAGTCCTACTATATGCCTTGGTCTGCGTTCTCAATGACCTGTTGCTAATAAGTAGCTGGGGCACCCCTTACAGTGGTGTCAAGTGAGCAAGAACGGAGCCTGAGGAGTGCTATATCCGTGTGCCCGGAGCTTAAGACCCAGTACTGCATAGGGAGAATACGATGTAAAAGCCAACACAGTGTAAATTAGACTACCTTTTAATAAAGCTAATAACTAGCTGGGGCACCCCTTATAGTGGTATTAAGAGAGCAAGAACGGAGCCTAAGGAGTGCTATATCTGTGTACCCGGAACTTAATACCTAGTATGTATGGGGAGAATATTATATAAAGGCTAATATAGTGTAAATTAGACTACCTTT